TAATACAATGGAATTATTTGGTTTCAATGCAAACTCTTCACTACCAAAACCTAGTACATTTATTTTTCGTGTAATTGTGCTATAATATCCAATCTCAGCAGGTATTCCAATTAATATCCAAGCAATTTTTGGATCCTTATATGTAAACTCACTAAAAAAAAATCAGCACATTATTCTAAGTTGAAAATTATTTAATAGCTAATATAAAAAAACTTACTAATTTTCTATAAAAATTAAGAACCCACATGTGTCCAAAAAATCGAATTTAATAGTAATTTCATCAATTGGTTCATCATCTCGTGTAATAAACTTTCCAAAAACTTGATAATTATTGGATTTAAAATGAACAGGAAAATTTATGCTATATGAATAGGAGGATCTTTAATTGGTACTATTCCTGACATAAGAACTCTTTCTTTAATACTTTTACTACTATTAAACTCAGGTTGATTTTTAATTTGTTTATTAATTCCAAGAACAACTTCAATTTCTTGGAGAAGATGTAGGTCGAAAATTTCGTACAATGGAAATAATTCTTTGCAGCTAATAACTTGTGATGAGTCAAGATCGCTCTCTAAATAAAATTTAATCCACTCTTTGAGTTTATTTTTCGGAATAAATTCACCATTAATTGATACAAAGTAAGATAAATCGAAATTATAAGAATTCATGAATTTTTCCCATCGACTCAAGATATTTTCAAATTTACTTTCAGAAAAATCATCAAGACTCGCACATTTTACGACATTATCTTTGTCATTACATTCTAATGAATTATTGTCTACAGATAAATAAGTCGTTCTGTAAATTTTATGGCCAAGAGTTATCTTTTTTGGTAAAAAATGGCCATAACTATTAAATACATCCATTAATTTATGATAAGGGTCATGGTGTTTTAGAGCTTCTTTTACTTTATAATTTAATTCATCAGATGGTCTTATTGATTCTTTTTTAATAATTAATTCAGCTTTCGTGCATTGTATCGTTAGAAAAATATCATTTGTAGGAGATTCGTCGGTTAAAAGGTCAATGACAGAACTTATGGCCTCATCAGCATCAAATACCTGGCTAACATACTCTAAATCATCAATAGAAAGTTCAACGTGATTTTTAAACAAAAAAGTTTCTTTTTTTGTTTTAGAATTCACTAATTTTGCATGAAAAGATGTGTTTTTTATAAAATTATGTTCATGTTGTGGTTTAAGCTCATATGTTATAAAATCCGAAAGTTGTATTCCTTCTGCGTTGATAATTAATCCGTGATTAAAGCTTAAGTGACTTGCGCTAGCCATGATTTCAAGTTTGAATCTTTCAAACATCTACGTACGTACGTACATATATTAAAAAGCATATGATGCAGTGCAATGTTACGTATTGGCTTTTCGCCTAAAAAGGAATGTGTTTGTTGGTCCCCTTCTTGGGTTTGTATCACTCGCACAAGTAACGATATACATATAGCAAACATTACTCATGTACAAACTTAAATTGTTTTTAAAAGCTAAGTAAAAAAAAAAAAAATGGCAACTAAAAACGAAACCGAAAATAAAAATAAAAGCGGCAGAAATGAAAATGACCAAAACATAGATGATAAAAATGACAAGATTGATATTATAGTCATTAAATCATATAAAATTAACTCGGATTTAAAAAATTCAAAGAATTTAGTAAAGTTATCCCTAAATTGGCGGCTTGATAATGTTCGCAAAATGCTCTTAAAAGACGAATGTGACAGTGATGATGATCTTCATGTGGGATCAAATTGTCGTTTTTTACATTTTTCACAAGACAAAGCGGAAATTAAACCAAGTGTTGAACATAAATACAGTCTTTCAAAAATCGTTGAAAAAAAAGATGACAAACATTTTTTATATATTATTCAAAATGCTGAATTTGATTTGACCCAATTAAGGTTTGAAAAGGGATTCAAGTTCAACAAAGATGGTTCTGTAACAATTGCACCCGTTCAAGCATTCAAAATTAATTTCGATGAAATTAAGTTAAAAAAAAAAATCGAGTCATATGAGAAAGTATATGAATGCAAACACGAGGCAACCGCAGAATGTAGACGGTCCCTTATATTTGATGTAAAACTTTCGGCTGATTATTCAGAATTAGTTTCTACTTCTATTGGGTTATCGCACGAAAATTCAGATCTGGTGCTTAAGCAAAACATGAAACATACTATACATTCGTATGAAGGAGTAATAAAAGGAGTATTACCTATTTTAGATAAAAATATTGTTCTAGAAAAAAATTTTGTTGATGATGTAGAAAATGTGGTGAACAGTAACGCTACAATTCATGACAAGATCAGTAAATTTTGCGAAATATCACAAAAATATGGTCATTTTTATGCACGACGTCTTATTTTGGGAGGTACCATAATAAGGGATGAAGAATATACTAAAAACTCAGGTGTGTTGATTAGAATTGGAATTCATACGTATACAATCAGGCCTCCCTAAATGCAACACCCCTCCAAATGTAACCTTTAACTCTGGCCCAAATATATATTGAACTCCCATAAATGCAATTTTTCTTATTGTTCACTAAATGCAGACTCGCAAAAGTCTGGTCTTGCGAGTTGCATTTAGAGAGGTTTGACTGCATATTATACCCTGTGACAGAACGTAATCTTATGTTTTAAGATTATATCCAAAAAAACGCCAATTTTAATGTTTATTCAATTTTATTATACGTTTAATCTATTATAGTTGAAAATTCTAAGGACAAAACTACTAAAGTACAAGGTGGAGTCGGAACTAGCGTTGTAAACTTAATTAAAATAATTTTTTATTTTAAATGCTAAAAATCAAAATTAATTACATTTTTGCATT